GGAATGGCCTTCTGGAGGCTCCTCTGCTCCGTGTGGGGCCAAAACAGACTCCGATCAGGTTCCCCCAGTGAAGGAAAAACAGCAAACCCAAAACACAAAGCGCGCCTTTGTCATGTGAGACGCTCAGGACCGTAAATGAGGCCTCGAACCGGGAGTTAAAGGGTAACAGGCAGAGATGTGTGATCTGTGGAGGGCCAGAAAAAGCCCTCCACCAGCTGCCAGATCCAAACCAGGAGGAGCTGTTTCTCCCAGAACATTCCCAATAACCCTCCGGATGGGAGTTCCAGCCCTAATCCAAGCGTCTTCTTCTTCTCTGGCTCCAGAGGAGGCAGACAGAAGCTGCCTGGGATTATACTGACTATCAGGAATTACATCCTTTGGATCTCATCCTGCAAAATGGTGGACATACAAAACCCAGTTTTCTCCATGTGCAGCCTCCCAACTCTGGACTGTGGTAAATCCTGAAGAAACAACAACTGGGCTCCTTTTTCACCACCTCCAACTGACCCCAAAGGAGGTCAAATACCTGCGAAAATACCAGCCGAGATCAGTTAATCACCGGTTTTACCGCTTTGGATTTTGACCATTTATCGTATCATAGGTTTAATCATTACATTATTCCCTTTTGCTCATTTAGAAGGGCAGATTTTGTCTTTATCAGGGCAGATCTACACCCACAGGGGGGAAAATAACAAGGAAACATGGTTCAGGCTGGCTATAATCATGATAAAAAAAGTCTTTATCAGTTAGGTTTCATTTATGTTTCACTCTGCTCAAAGACAAGGGACAAACATCGTGTTTTTGGTTGTGTTTGTGTTGGTATTTTAGCCCTTAATGGGATTTTATTAATGCATAAATATTTCAAGTCAGTCTAAAAAAATCTGGGCGAAACTCCTCAGTGTTTGGAGAACAGTTTGGGGGGGTCAAAGGTCAAACGTGCAAACAGGGCGACGCTTGACAATCTTTGGCCTCCAAATGTTTCTAAAAATGGCCGACGGGTCACAGAGGCCTGGTGAAGAATGGGAGGAGTCTACCTGAGTGGCAGGTGTGCAGAATAAAGCTTCATAAAGCTTCCTCTCATTAGCATATTTACGATGTGCAGGTATTTGAATTCCGAATGCAAATCAGATTGAGATTCAATTTTTATTTTTACACAAATAAGAGAATTTATCTTTTGGTATTCATGTAAAAAAAATTTCATTTAAATAAAGTTACAAAAAAAATACCTTATGCATATAAGAATACATTATGTATATTAAAGCATATATTATATGTCCTTATTTATAATTAAAAACTACAGATTATCTCATATTTATCCAATATTCTATTTTAAAAATGTATAATCTCTATAAACACGCACACATATTTCTATATCTACAGTATATATATTATTATATCTATCTATAGATAGATAGATAGATAGATAGATAGATAGATAGATAGATAGATAGATAGATAGATAGATAGATAGATTAATTGTTTACACCATTGATTTTTGGGCTTGGTAACTATAAGGGACCTGAGGCAAAGATTTGAAAACTGCAGACATTTTTATTAAACCGACATGTTTTTAATCTGTACAGTAAAATCAAACCTCACAATTCAAGTTACAGGACGTTTTCTAAAAATAAGGGCACACCGATAAAGTTTGCTCACACTGAAACTTATGTACAAAAGTTCCTCTGATAGCTGTTACGTTTTCATTCACATCCGACGCAGACGGAAACAAACCGGAGCTGGAAAAAGCTGAGGGGGGGCTGTGGGTGTCCGTCCAGAGGGGGGGGGGGTCTGGGGCCCAAATCCTGTGAAAACTGAGCAGAAACTACCAGCTCTGAAAAGCTCTGGTCACACACAGCTTGTTTTTGTATTTTGGTTTTCGGGAGGTAAAAAAATGAAAAAACAAACTTAATTCAAC